CCCTTCCAGGATCCCATCCCTGTGGGAATGCAGAGGCTCCCCCAACCCAACCCTTTCCAGGATCCCAACCCTTTCCAGGATCCCATCCCTTTCCAGGACCCCATCCCTGTGGAATGCAGAGCTCCCACCTGTGTCCTGTGGAAGCGATGCACGGCCCCGCTCAGGGCACAGCCCACGAACCCCTCGCCCGCCGCCGGCTCGTGCAGGAACCGGATTTCCAGAGGGATGGAGCCCTTCCCTAAATCCAGGGCCTGGAGCAGCCTGTGGGTGCTCCAGTCCCACACGTTGATGTGGCGCCCGTAGAGCCCTGAGGGGACCCAGTGGGGCAGGAATGAGCACAGGAAATGATCTTTTAACGAAGGATTCGAAGGAATAATTTTATTTTTAAGGGGTTTTTCCTCACCTTTCTCCACGTCAGCGGGGTCGAATCCATCCCTCAGGGCCTTTGGGACTCCCCACTCCGTGCTCAGCAGGACGTTGTGCCGGGGTTGGTACCAGAAGTCGTAGCCCAGGGAAGGGACCTTTTCCCCCTTTTCCCAGTTTCCTTTCACCTCGAAGGTCTCTCCGTCCAGCAGGATAAAACTCCCTGGCACAAAACCCCAAAAATTACTGTTGGGAGACACTCACAAAGCTTTGAAGAGGAGAAATAATACAGGAATATTTAAATAGCTGTTTTCTAATATCCAACCCTGCACTGGGAGAATATTTTGTGATCCTGGTTTTGCTTTTTGTCCTTTAAGGAATATTTTGTGATTCTGGTTTTGCTTTTTGTCCTCTAAGGAATATTTTTGTGATTCTGGCTTTGCTTTTCTCCTTCAAGGAATATTTTTGTGATCCTGGTTTTGCTTTTTGTCCTTTAAGGAATATTTTTGTGATTCTGGCTTTGCTTTTTGTCCTTCAAGGGATATTTTGTGATTCTGGTTTTGCTCTTGTGGCCTAAAGCAAACAAACCCTGGGTTTTTAAAGGCTTTTATCACATGACAATGAATTTTTTTAAGGTCCAATTTGCTCTGTTTCTGCTGAAATCATCCCAATAAATCCATCAGCCCTCTCAGGGGACATTCCAACATCTCAGAGAAGATCCTGGAGGAGTCACCTCTGGTTTTCTTGGATTGCCACCAGTATCCTTGAATTCTGATAATTCCTGCTCAATCCTGATAAATCCTACTCCCAATAATCACCTACTGAAGGACATGTTTGCCTCTGATCCAGCAGGAAAAACCCCTGGGAAAAGGAGGAGGATTCCCTTCCTCCCATCTGAACCATATTTCTCCTAATTCCTCCCAGCTTTCAGGTGGAAAAAGTGACAACATTTACGGGCAAGAATCCTCCTGAAGATTTAAAACAGGAAATTTAACCTGGAACAACCTGAAAAGTGTATTTAGAGGTGGATAAATGATGTCTGGGATTGTTCTGGGCTCTTAAAGATCTTAAAAGTTCTGCTTTCGCAGCCCTGGCTTGGGGAGAAGGATCCAGGAATTCTTTCCTGGAGCAAGGAGGGCCAGGAATCCTTTCCTGGAGCAAGGAGGGCCAGGAATCCTTTCCCTGGAGCAAGGAGAGACAGGAATCCTTTCCTGGAGCAAGGAGAGAC